GAAGTAAATATATTAATTGCAGTTAGACATTAACACTATTGGATGCCGGATTAGTGGCCTAGAGATCAAGCGTTCACGCACAAGACAAATGGGTCCTGGGTTAGAATGTCAAGTGGTGGTAACGTGAATTCACCATGCTGAGGAGTATCAAACTTGGACGAAACAGTCGTCTATTGCACCCAGGTATTAAATTGTAGTCCAGGTTCATGTGGCTCATGAATTCAATCCAAAATCGATATGACCGAAACGTTCTAATAAACATTCAAAGTAACTCCGATAATTTTATGTTCACGTGAATTCAGTATAAGCTGTATCTCATTCAGAATCAAGTTTTCTACTCTTCTTCGACGTTTAAAGTAAATCAATGTAGTTAGATACTAATGCGTATTGAAGAACAATAAGACAAATAACACGATTTAGTAATCACCACACAGTAGTATGCTACCATTTTATTCAAAATTCATATCGTTATATAGGAACATGAAATAGCCATGCTCTCGATGAATAGCGGACGCACGAAAAGTCGACGAATGTGTATGTATTAAGATGGTGTTTAATGAGGAACTGATTTTGGACCACTGTCGAAAGTCAAGATGCACCTCCGGATGTGCAGATTCGCAAGGTCGACACGGGGAATTGGACTCTGAATCGTTTGACCGGTTAAAGTAGTTTACCTTGAATCGATTTCGGTATGCTGTTTGGATATTTCGATAGGATGTTTGTAGAAATACCATATTTTACTAATCGATTTTAGTGACAATTAGAAGTGTGATGGGATAACACAAATGTAAATATTGGTGAAACATTTAGTTTCAAAGTTGACCAGATCAGAATGATTTTCATCATATCAATCAACTATTGCATTGAAATTCGCGATTGATTTTTCTTTAGCAGATCTATAATCTGATTAATGGAGAATAACTTTTGAAGTAGACTGATTATCATTCTCTTTGTGTCTATTAAGTTATTTCTAATTGTCGAGAACTATGATTTGAATTGTGAACTTAATATACACTGTTGTGTTGTGTGCAAGGTGTTTCGACATTAGTAGTATATAACACAAGTGAGGAATAGATAGTCTGGGAGCAGAAGGTAGAGAAGATCAATGAGTTATGAGCGTGAACAATGAATTCTGAAACAACTGATTAACATTTTGCAAATGAAGTGTTAACTGTATGGTTGTCAGATTTGACCAAGACGTACTGTAATTGTGTATTCAAACACTTGTGTTCTCGTTCACTACATTATTTCTTGTGAAGTCTATTGAATGTGTAGATGAATAGAGTAACAGATATCTAAGTCTTATGAAATGGAGTGAACACTTTTCGTATCTGGTCACAAATTGATTCAAATAATAATTAACAAACACTGATGTTTGCGCTTTCTGAATTATTTTGATTATGTTTGTTATATTGAGTTTATAATTGATTGTTACCATATAAATGAACCTTGATCAGATATATGAGTATGAATCAATTGAAGCAATTCAAAGCTGATCAAACTTCAATAGATAATATGAATAAACAAAATATTCATTAGAAATCTATCTAATGATTAAGGAGTATTTTAGATCCAACTTAGAAATTGAAATCAGTTCGTTCAACGTCATCGTTACAGGTAAACTACAGTCATCAGTATCATTAATGTATGAATTGTTTGTCCTTAGTTTTTTTATTCCACTAATTCCAATCCCATACATATTGAAATGTGAAATATGAAGTTTGTTTCCAAACAACATTGAGATTCAAGTAAACTTCAATTGGAGGAAATCTGCTTCTAAATGATATACAAGCTTGAATAAATATTGTGAAGTGTTGACTGGAGGAAACTAATTTAGTTTTCAACTTTGACATGGTTGTATAGACCAGATATTCACACTAAGTTAAGTATCAGAACATAGAAACACATTCTGCTGCCATACAATGATAGTATCTCTCGATCCTAAAGTGACTTTGTTGATCGTGAGGTTCTTCTAGGTTGGAAGCGGTTATGAGTTCACTTAGTATGCGAACGGAACAAAAACTCGGTGACCAAAAATAAATAAGCTAGCTATTCTATGCGTCCAATTTCCGTTAAATATAGGAAGATATTCAAGCTTGGAATGGGGTAGTATATACCACAAACAGACAGAAACGAGTTATAACGACAAACACAAATAAAAAAGTATATATACCGCACAAAACCGTCCTTGATGAGAGTTACAAAATAGTATGCTTAAAGACTACGCATCGATAGCATTTAAGATTTCATCAAGTGAGAAATACTACATGAAGGTGAGAAAAGCGCTTTTGGCGCGAAGACAAAGAAATTCAAATTTTCTAAGTAGAATTACAAAATTAGGTCCTATTCCATGTGAGTTTTGGTGATCTTATTTCCACTACATGTTTTATAGCAATGTTTGTTCTTGAAAGCAGTGTCAATGAAGTAAATAAATCTTATACATGCTCTTCACTTGAACACAACTGGTCGAGTGAGAGCTTATGGCGAACTATCATCAGAATTGATTACTACAAGTGGTGTTCATCAGATCTGTCCACTCTCTCCATTCTTGTCTAATTTGTCGTTGACGTGCGATCCTTCCACGCGGAATGTTGCTTCATGACTGGGTTGAAACGTCACCTGAACTAATGATAGGGAGTGAAGTGGTTGCTAGTATCGACCGCTTCACCTATTTTAGTAGGTTTATCACATATCAAGCTCAGTACACAAATCATGATTATTGGTAGTTTATGGAAGGGTATAAGAAAAAAGACCACACAGACATAGTGAGAGAGAAAATAATAATCACTCCAAATCAATGTGCTGCTCAACTTACAATTTCAGTAATACGATTAAATATTATTAAGTAAAATTTTGATTATTTCAAGTACAATGATTAACAAAACAATATTGGCAGTTGTCATTTACATGAACGAGAGACAGTGATAGAGAGAGGATTAGTTTAGTTTTCTTCTAATCACCTTATTACATGTTTCCAAATGTTCGAATAGTCAGTGATTGTTGACCAGAGACAATGACGCATGAACCAGTATGAACAGTCCAGAATCAATCATCGAGATAGTAGCCTCTCACCTAATACAGACAGTTTAGTCTAAAACACCAATATCACCCTCCGCGATATGAATCATGTATTTCAGACATAGGCAGTTTATATACAAGTAAATCAAACCTCATCATGTCATAAAATAAAACTTATTAAAAATCAAGACAAAAGCGGCTGTGAGTGTGAGTGCGTGCAACTAATAGAATGAGAATAACTCGGGCATAGTAAATTGTTTAATGATAACCAATAAGTCAAATGGAAACTTTTAATGAAGGGAATATTATTATATATATAATATATTTCCTTAATGTGTGGACAGTCTACGGATGAACTCGAGGAAGCCGTGAGAAGCTCAGAATGAGCCGAAGATATCTCACCTAATCCTTTTTTTAAAGAATATTCCAGAATCAATAGGTCTAGCTTCACTATTGGACAATGCTAATAACCTCTTGTTAGCAAATTAGAAGACGATAATGATAATGTCGTTTTTCCTGAAAACTATGAATACCTGACAATTTTGGGCCATAATTGACACTATTTGGAATAACATTCATTTCAGTTGATTTCTGATCTAAATAACAGTTTATTTCATGATTCCTTATCATCTACACTGACAATACCTTATTCAGACAAGTGTGAGTAATTTGTTGATCACCTGATAGTTCAAACTTCCATTGAGTAATCATAATTCATTTGACTGAATTTCTGAATGTTGCATCTATTCAATTAAACAGATATAATATCAGTATGGAATTGTAGAGATTAAGCATTCTCACGCATGACCGAATGTCCTAGTTTCGAATCTCACAAGCAGGATCATGGATGTGCACTACTGAAGAGTCACACAACAGGACGAAACGGCCATCTAGTACTTTCAGGTTTCCAATGTTGTTCTAACATTAATCGATTCATGATCACAATCAAAGGCACATTATCAATGAATCAATTAATTATTCTGCTAATCACTTATATCATTAAACTGGTTTATTGACGATGTTATTTGAATGTCACTATTCGCGTATATATATGTGAGTGAATGTGATAGAATGAAACACTCAAATTTATTTGTGAACAAATATTCTCATTAGTTTTTAATGGGTTATTGAAACAAGTGAAAATTGTTAAGCATAAATATGAGTCATGTGATGTGTGCGACTGATGTCGAAATATATAAGTAGTATGTATGATCAGTCAGAAATGAAGTGCTTGGCGTTGAATGTCACGAAGATCGAAGGAAATGTAACGAGAACACAGAATGATTGGTGTGGAGACGAATGAACAATGAAGTCTGAGATATTTGATTGACACATGCAGAAGGAACAGTCAGGTTGGAGACAATCGATAACCATTTTGTAAATGAAGTATTCACTGTACTAAGATGTTCTGCAATCTCATAATGAAATAAGTACGACTGTCTCAATGAGTAAGAAAATCATACTTCTGACGCTTCGTGACAATGTAAGCTATGTCTTCAAAGTAAACAAATACCTTGGAGTTTCATTCGTGTAATTAACATTTTCTGACATAAATTTCTTGAATATAATCCAATCACTAATATGACTGTAGATAGTATAGTGGTGAACGAGAACGCCATGGGTGACAATCAATAGTACCTGAATACTAAATTACAGAACAACTCAGTAAAATTTGAGAACCATACAGTAAGTGCTTAATATGCAAAACGTCAATGAACCGTCTCCAACTTGACTTTTCTTTCGTTTCAACACCAATCACTTCCCTCTCTCTTCTATTTAAACTACTTGGACTTCCATCTCAAGGTGTTTCAATTTTGATTGACGATACATACTACTTATATCTGTCGACAACAGTAGCATACAACACACTCACCTCCACTCGTTTCCTCTTTGAATACAGCATATTCAATGATAAATCAGATTTATGATGAAACTTTCATATGGTAATTTATTGTTTATTCTAGGAAACCACATTGGAAGTAATGCCTGCTATGTTTGAGAACCTTGAATGGAAGAATATTGAAGGAAGCAATGTAATGAATATTATGCATCATGATAATCGTATAACGGTTGTATCCACATATACCAAAACAGTAGATTATACATTATCAACAATGAAATCATTCACAATAATAGGTGCTTATACTTGTTGCAATACAAATATCAGTATCATTTGTCATCATAATGCTCTCATCATTACTGTAAATTACCTAAGCAGTTTTAATGATAATTGTCTTTTTAGTAGCAAGATGATGCTTCAAAATGGCGGGCAATGGATACCATCCATTATTGCTGGTTTATTTCTGTATGTTATGTCATTTTTCGGATTATCATTTATTCATAATCTTCGTTGAATAATTCACTTGAATATAAGATGGCGATTGAACACTTTGATTAATTAGAGGGTCACATGCTTACTTACTAACTCCTGTTACTCCCAATTGAGTATAGGGTGTCGGCTAGCATTCTTTATCCCACTCTGTTGTGTGCCTCCCTTTCTAGTTCTTGTTCATTCTTCTCATATTTGACTCCATTTCTCGAAGGAATGTGTTCATCGATCTTCCTCTTCTTGTATGAATTGAGGATTAAAAGTGCAGACTTGTTTTGTGATACATTGTGGTGTTTTCCTCAATGTATGTCCTATCCACTTCCAGCACTTCTTCCTGATTTCTTCCACCACTATAATCTGATTTGTATTCTCCCACAGTAGGTTGTTGCTGATAGTGCTTGACCGATGTATCCGAAGTCTTATACGTATATGCATGCGTACCACACGTCTCAGCCATCTCAACTGATGAAGTTTCACTACTTTATCAATTCCTTTGCCATCCTTACCTAGTTCCCGTTTTTAGACAACTGCATTACATACTCGGTTGTCACAGGACATATGTGTATGTACATACTGTGAGTAACATCGCGTTGTCAAGTCTAATCAGCTGATTGAAAAACGCAATAACGTGTAAGGCGAATGTAGGTACATCCAACTGATGACTCGCAAACAGGACGAAATGCACTAAAAACTGTATTCCACTGCTAGCCGCCATCCATCATTGCTTACAATGCTTGTGGATTAAATCAATATTGATGCAGTCATCACAGTATGCACACATGACAACAAGAGACTGATCAATTAAAATGCTAACCATCATTAGGAAGATACAAGGAAACAACAATACTAAGTGAATTCAATCCTCAATATGGATTCGTTACAATTCATGAAAGATGATTAATATTTAGGAAGAATGATTAAGATGTATGTATGTCAAGGATGAACTGGATGGTTTCAAATAAATTGAACATTGGCCGGAAAGTGTGATATTATTGTTACTATTATCCCAAACAATGAGTAGAAAAATCGTAATTCTGATGTTTGGACACCTAAAATTAGCCACGTTTCCACAGTAACCAAATAAGTTCGATGGATTTAACTCAAGTTTAAATAATACAAAGAATCGAGTGCAGAATATTTTTAGCACAATTGAAATTAAATAGATGTGAAGATGCCATTTTCTAATGGTATTGCCAACAATAAGCCAATCAATAATGAGACATAAAAATGGCTGGTCTGGTTGTTAGAAGAAACATTGGCCTCGTGACTTCCGATGGATCTTGGCTACTGTGATGTGGCGCCATAATTCTTAATTGAAATCGGAGGTTTATTCCGGTTAGCGTTTTCTTGTAGCAAAGTTGTTTTCTACAGGATAGGGTTGCCGATTCCACGCCCAACCTTATCCCGTAATTCAGTCCGGCATGAGCCATAGAACAGCTACATTCGGAGTTATTCATGTTATGCTCAACAGATATTTCTGTTTTATTTTGTAGTTTGATTGCATTAGTGATAGCCCTATTGATTGCTTTCGTGAAGAAGATAAATGAGAAATATTCACTGGAAGTGGCGCTTGTAATTATTTTTGTAAGAATTTCCGATAATCTTTTCACATTTACTTTGTTATTCTGTATTATATAATTCAATATAATAAAAGGTGTGTAAATGAGATTGAGAGTACAGCTTGAAGATAATAATCCGATGTGATTGATGGTTATGACATCGAAGAAGTTTGCGAACGCGAAATCCTGACTGATGTAGAAGTTTATTTTAGTAGTCGATCTGTTGCGATAAATATGCCAGACATTTCAGCAACGTCTCTCGAAATTCTCTCTCATGGCCACGCATATACAGTCTATTCCAGTGAAATCCTACTCATTGCCGTCTAGGGGCGTAGGTGTTGACTACGAAATTGAGAGGACGTAAGCAAATGCCCGTTGCTATCACATAGTTGGCAGGTATTGAAGATACACCTTGGTGAGTTCGAAGTCCTTGATTTCAAACCGACGTTGCACATGGGCTTCACAATCCAGTGGGAACAAATGGCGTATGAAGTAATCGTTGGTCACCGGCAATCATGGGTCTGCATCTCCTAATGTGGCTCCACTGAGTTGTGAATCCAACCTTTAGGTTGAAGGCTCCGGGTGTGTTTCCACAAGAAAACCACCTTCTTGAGTCTCGGCAGTCGGGCAGTGTTACAACCTTCATACAAATCGAGTGAAATATATGATGTATGAGTATTCGGTGTCCCTTCGTACCAATGTTTATGCGTTCAAATAAATAAATAGTAAGTGAAGTTATTGTGTCAAATTAGAAATAGTCATTTTCGGAAAATGAATTCATAACTTCAGTAAACATTATTATCAGGATTCATATACAATACAAGCATATATGAATGAATATGCATTCTGTTAGAACTATTATATTATTTCTCATTTTCAGTCTATCTGCATGGCAACAGCATTCGGAATTTGGAATGTTGATATTTATCCTCTTCCGAGATCGATAGTTTTGGGAATCAGTTTGGTGTTATTCACATCTGCATTACTGATTGGTGCAGCGATTAAAACAGATTTGGCGGATCACATAATTAGTATTACAATATCCCTTATGGTTTTATCTGTTGTCATTGTGACAGTCGCGGTTGTGCTAAGTATTTGGTATCATTTAAAGGTATTCTAGTGAACTAATATATTTTATTTCTGAATGACGTAATCCTGAATGAATTTAGTTTAATTTCAGAACAATCACAAATGTTCCAAAACCTTAACTGTTCACTGTAATCTTGTTGGTAAGGAACCAAAATCTCTAACCATTTAAGTTAAAAAGTTCGAAGTATCATGATAGCTGAACTTGTTAACTTTGATAATATGCATGGTATTCGGCTGGTATGATTGATGTCATGTAGTACTTAGGTCCTGTGTTTGAGAGAGAAGACATGTCACCTGGTTTGGAACGTCGACCAGATTATGAGAAGGAGGATTTCATATGAACAAAGCTAAGTGGTGATAAACAATGAGATGGTATATGAGTCAAGCTTTGCTTAGGAAGAAAATCAGGATGAAATCCATAAATGATCCTGTTCCTTAATGGTTAAGTTTCAGTTTTTCATAGTTGGATATCCTGCAGTAAAGCATGTATGTTCTAATATGTCAGGTAGTCATCTTTGAACGATTTAGTATCTTCACTCTCGTATCACAAGTGGATATTCCGTTTATTTTGAAGAATGTTCTATGATCACTTCTCAGATATAACACTGAACGTAAAGGGCCTACGCGAACACACAGTTTACATACTAGAATGAATAAATAAGCATTTGAAGAAATGTATCAGAATCAAAGAGTATCTCAACAGCTTTCCCCCAACTAATATACGTTACATGTTTATACGAAATACACTAGTTAAATGAATATGCGCTCCATAGCACCCACATTATCATAGATGCTGTAAACTTGTCTATCACATTATTCAAAGCACAACATCCATTCTATTCATCAGTAATCTATTTACATTGTTTTCAATTCAAAATTTAAGACAGACCAATTATTCAAGCTGATATAGAACGAACCCTGGCATAAATATATGCAGATATGTCCTACTCTACACACGGTAAAATAAAGAGAAGTTAATCGGATTTACCTAATCCAACATGAGATAAACGTGATTAAATTGTCTATTCTTCCAGATGTACACACTGACTCAATCCTATATTGTCATGTTTGAGTATTGTTCAATGTAAATGTAATGTTGAATTGTTGAAATGAATTCACTGAATCATCTTCTTGTTTTCAGTCTGAAACCATCGGTGTTCTCATCGGTACACAAATATCGTTGTTCATTGTGAGTTAAATTGATATACATTTTTTGTTGATATAATGATCACTCTGAAGTAGAAGTGTACTGTTTGTCTCAAATGAATTTGACATTGCCTTGATGTCTCTACTGAAAATGACTTACACATGATATGGTTAATTGTGAACAGACATCGATATTCTGAGTGATTTACCATTCTGATGAGAAACTGTAATAACTAATGGAGTCCAATACATGTCGGACAGGGATAGGTATCTGGCTCAGACAATGTATGAAGTGTTGCGCTATCGATAGAAGATATAAATTGGCACCGTTACATACCGAGGCAGTGGAATAGAGATCAAGTATTCGGGAGGGAGACTTAAGATCCTGTGTTCGTATGGCACATGCGTGATTGTGGATAAGCATTGCTGAGGAGTTCAAAAATAGGGCAAAACTTTTCTAATGCTTACAGGTTTTGATAGTGGTTTAACATCAATCGTTTTTCCGATCAACTCCGTATTCTTATTACTCTATTGAAACTTATGAAAAAGGGACCAATCGCTTTCAATTTCAACATCGTTCAACAGTCGTACGTATTTACATCACAGAGTTCGGTTCATTCTTTAACTGAAACCCTGATAGCAACTTGCTTGGCCGATGGGATGAAGTTTAAATCCACTTAGTATTGCATAAGCGAATGACTGTTAGTACCCAGTAGTTAAGTAGATAACGAGATGGCGTTTGAAGCGAATGGTACTGGGTTCGAGGCCCAGAGTTAACATCAAATCAAGCCTATCCATTTGATGAGTGCTAAATAGAACGAAACGCATGTCCTGCATTCCACATCCAACCACGATTCATCTTCGCATGTATTCCTTGTAAAGTTTCGCAATATTGAGGGAATCCTCACATAATGCATATATTTCACTAAAGAGTGAGACTGATCAATTACAGTTGTAAACATCAATGATAAAATTCAAGCAAACTATATTAAATGAAGTTCACTTATAATTTCAGTTACAGAACTGCACTCATATCATTTTCGTTAATATTTCTTACATAAGAAATTACACAAGAAATATCATCACTTATTCTATTTTGGTTATCGAATTATGCATATGAAATCCAAACTTATGAATGTTTTCAAACAATTCGATTGACGAGTCGATCTAAAGTAGATCACTATTGAAAACATGGAAGCAGTGAATGGTTGTTTCGCCGTCGTATGAGGCT